GCCTCGCGGCAATAGGTCTCCAAGGCTTGTTGAGCAAATCCTCCGCTTCTCCGATAATCTGATTGGAGACGCAGAATTGCAAGAGATGAAGGTAGACCCATATACTTGTTTTTACAAGCGAACTGAGCCCAAATGAATACGATGATGATGCCGCCGCGAAGAGCATCTAGTAACTATATCAGAGGGTGATTTCCAGCCTAGAAGGACACCAGAATGTACCACAGGGAAAAAGATTGTTTTCAAATCTGATTTGGTGAACAAGAAGGAGGTAAGAAGGACATCCTTCATTTTTTGAGACCGGGAAATGAAGCTTGAAGCTTGAAGGGCCTAGGGCACTTAAGTTGTCGAAAAGACTCGGAAATGCAACCGAGTTGTTTCATGATCCTTGCAACATGCATCATGATTCATCCGGAAATATGGGAGAACCGTAGTGACACTATCGAATCAGTAGAGTCTCGAGTGATAAGGGCCTGGTGTAGCGCCGTGATTGAAGTAGCAAATAAATTCCAAAGTTGAGATTGATGCAGCTGTCAGTTCGGCACATATTTGAACACCGGGGTCGTATTTTTGCTTCGTATCTCCTTCCGTCACACACGGATCTCGCACTACTGTCTACAGATAATCTTCCACGCACTTTCGCCGCAATTCACACGGAGAAATTCCGATGTAGCTTGCCAAGTGCAAGATGTATACCTGACAAGTATCTTGGCTTCCCCTCACCTTCCGTCAGTCATGGCCTTGGCGATATTTGTTGTGCACTAAAGTTACCACGAAGGGTGCATCCACGATACAACTCTATATATATAGAGTAGCAGCGAATGCGACCATTTTGTACCTTGCAATCGATATCTTCTGATAGTTCTATCTCGCGGGCTTTTTTTAAGCTCTGAACACATATGTTCTAGCAGAATAAATCTTTCCATCCCCACTGCAGATTTGATGGATCTCTGTCTTAGAACGGTCGAGCTACGAAAACAGCTCCTTTGAATGATGTTTGAATGCCGTGCCGAACGTCCAACCAGATTCTTTCGCCTAGAAGGCGGTCTGTCGTCTCACTTCGCTTCTCGTGGGAAAATCCCATTCGAAATCAGGAGACAGGCTGTTCAACTTGCGTCAACAGTACCATGACATCCAAAGAGGAGAAAATAATCGTAGTGTCCTGGGATGGCGACGACGACCCAGAAAATCCAAAAAAGTGAGCTCTGTTACCCACTTCTGAGCCGCTTTCATCCATATTGTGTTTGTGCAGTTGGAGCTATTCTCAAAAATGGATCGCAACTGGCCTTATATCCACATACACGATGTTGTCTCCCATTACGTCGTCCATGATTGCTCCAGCTGCTAGGGACGTGGCCAAAGATCTCGGGGCCACCAGCCACATTTTTGAACCTCTGCTAACTTCGATATTTATCTTGGCGTACGGTAAGGCCAAACACGATCTAATAGTCAAACTTATCGAAAACACACCACCCAGCCTTCGGTCCCCTATTTTTTGGCCCGGTCTCTCAGGTCTACGGCCGGTCGAGGGTGGTGCAATTGGGCAATGTGTTTTACATGAGTACTCTTCGGTTCATCAGCACTCTAAGCGCGCGCTAACTATTTTTAGTCTTCAATCTTGTCTGCGCATTTGCAAAGACTCCTAGTCAGATGCTGGCATTCCGTTTCCTGGCTGGTATTGGTGGAAGTGCGCCGCTGGCGGTGCGTATACAAGCCACAATAGGCGAGCCGTACCTAGTTAATTCTAATTAGCTCGGTGGGGGAGTCATTAACGATTGCTGGAGCGTCAAGGAACGCGGTCGGGCAGTGACTTTATATGCCCTGGCGCCTCTGTTGGGTCCAATCATTGGGCCGATTGCTGGCGCATGGATTGCCATGAAGACGACGTGGAAATGGGTTGTGAGCATCACCTCTATCCCTAGATGTTTTTTCAGTCATTATTTTTCTCCAGTTCTGGTCGACATCCATTGCTGCTGTCTTCGTCCAAGCCATCTCTTTCTTTTGGCTAAAAGAGAGTAAGCGCGATACCCAGGTAGTTACATGTCACTCAAATTGTTGCCACTAGCTTTTGCGCCCCTTCTATTGGCTCGAAAGGCAAGGAAGCTGCAAAATGCTAGCAGTGGAGAGGAGAATGTTATATATGTTACCAGCCACCAGCAGAATCCATCCAAGTACACGGTAACTGACACCCGGGAATTATTGCTGACCTGTTTTACTAGGCCTCCTGTCCACAAGCTTCTACTCTACCCGGTCGTTTTACTTCTAACCGAACCTACGGCCCAGCTACTAGGAATATATCTAGCCTATATGTAAGGTGTATGTCATCGTCTGTCATAATATGCTAACTATTTCATCGATTGTCTTCAGATACGGTAGGACATTGCGGGAGAACGTTTCGTTTAATTGCTTACTGACTCCTCTTGATTATCTAGGGCTGGTCTATCGTATGCTCTGCCTTCTTACTTTCTGGGACATCTCTCTCACCGTGTTTACAGTGATACTGACGTCGATCCCTGATATATACGTCGTTGTATATCACGAGAGTATCGGAATTGCAGGATTGCATTACATCGCCTTTGGAATTGGCCTTTACAGTGGAGCGCAAATCACGAATGCGATCCTGGATGGACTGTATCTCCGCCTCAGCGCTCACTACGGGACCGAAGGCCGTCCTGAATTTCGAATTCGTAAGTGTCGTCCGTTACTATGTACATCATTGTTACTTACGAGCAACTGTGAAGCCATTATGCTGCCCGCCACCCTGTTCGTGCCTATAGGATTGTTCATTACAGGTGCGTCAGGGCAGAAGCTTTGCACTCTGTACGACGTTATGGGGATATTTCATTTCCAGGATGGACTGTGTCAAGCGGAGTGCACTGGATTGTCCCAGATATTGTGAGTGTCTTTGCCCGTGAGAACTTCAAAAGCTTACAGCGCCCTGAGCAGGGACTTGTTATCACCGGGTGAAGATTTATTTTACTGACGGTTGTAAGAGACTGAAACCTGATTCTTATCTACAAATAGAATGGGCATCGCCGTGAACTGGCAAGCAATACAAACATATATCATCGACACCTACACCGTTCGTGCGGCACCAGGTAAGTCAATGGCCTGCACAAGTACTGATGCGGACTTGACCTATTATACAGCTCTCGGAGGGCTCTCTTTGCTTCGCTCGCTCGTCGGTTTTGCCTTGCCGTTAGCCTCTCCCAGCCTGTCAGCCATCATGATCTCTCCTGCTTCTTTCCATTACTGAGCTCCGAACATAGGTACCAGCACTTAGGTTACGGGAAAGGAAACACCATCCTGGCTAGTTGCGCTTTGGGCCTGGGATTCCCGATGTAAGTTCTCACTCCTACCAGACCTTTCTTAGATAGATAGTAACATATGGCAGGGTTTTGATTCTGTGGTTTTGGGGGACAGTTCTACGTGGCAAAAGTGCAACGGCTATCCACAATTAGGTATTCATATTGTTTCAGAATGGACTAAGATAAGTAGAGACACTCTCTTGAGGGATTCGGGCGTATTAGCATACACGACTAGTACCTAGAAGTTTAAAATGACATTGTTTGGACTGGCGGTGTTCGTATTATAATAAAGGCCGAGATAACTATCCGAGAATATCGAGCCTAAGCCTTCTGAGCCGCCAACATCTTCGGAGAAATGGAGCAGACGCTTTGGGGTGTAGGTGACATACGTGAAGTTGCAAAAAAGGTACTTTGCCTCGCCGAGCTTCGGTAGCATTAGAGCCTGTCTGATGGGGCCCGAGAATAGTAGCGATATGCAATCTCACCAACCATCAGGACCCACATCATCACCATTACTCGGCGTGGTACAACTTGGACATAAACAGCTGGGATGTCGTCAAAAGGACGCGGGCCATCTTTTCGAGATGACAGCTTTCGATCATCCGCGCTGGGCGGGAGCGCTGGTGCAAAAATAACGAGTGATTAAAAGACGGCTGCAGATTGTCCATACGTTCTGTGAATCGACATTCAGGATCATAGGAGGTTCAAAATACAAACATATTAGACGTCATAGCTTGTCATGAAAATTACATCATTCGAGAAAGGTATTGTACACTGCCATGGGTCAATCTGCCTGAGTCGTAGTCATCCCATCATCCCCTGTGTCTATAGTAGTTCCCCGAGTACGACCTGCCTGGAAACGCAAGACGGACAACTGCAAGGTTGGGAGAGGATTTTCCTGCCGCCCCGTTTTGCGTAGATTTAAGATCACACGAGACATAGAGATCGATAACGCCGCTGATGTTGGACCATGAAGAACATTGTATTTCCCCGGCTGGGGTATCAGGTTGTCAGTGCAAGCACAAGTTCGATGGAGAATACATACAGAGGCAAAACGGTATTCCAGCGCATTAGCGAGGCCAGTTGTAAGGACACTTTTGCAAGTCAGCACAGCAAACGATGCAAAGAGGGAGCGGTACGTACACTACGAAGTACCACAACGAATCACGGACGACCAGCGAAAGTAAAGACCGAGGCCCATACGCGCTCTCCATTTTGGGCACATTGAAATCTGATATTACTCTGTACGCAGCAAGGAGGAACATTATTGATTCGAAAACAGCTATGGGAACCCTTCGAGTTGCAAGTTCAATTCGTATAAGCTAAGCCGTCGGAGAAGAAGACACTTACCAATAAGCATACAAGATATTCAATTTACTAGTCAAGGAGCAGAGAAAGAAGCCAGGCACCGGCTCGTTAGTCCCTATGGAGAGTTTTTATCAGTATTCGTTACAGAAAGCACTCAGTGAATCTCTCAGAGGACCTGTCGCACGATGTGCCTGGATTCCCAACACCGTCGAGCTGGCGGCCACGGTGAGAATATACAAGACTGTCACGGGCACTACAATGCGCTTCTTTCGACCATATATTGCCCCAAGTCGAATTATAAGGACGATATCAGCGATGAAAACTTGTAGAGTTCCTGGAGATTGAAATCATAAATTCGATGGAAAACATTGACAAGCAATAATGATTTTAGTGTACCGTTGATGACAGTGATGTATCCGACCCATGCGAGACCTGCGATCTCCGTTCGAATAATCGATCAATGAAGTCATATAATACGCACAACTATCCAAATTCCAAAGGGTAAGAAATTTCATGTCTGAAACGATACGAGGTGCACGTACAACTGCGATAGGTCTTTTAGTCGTCATTCAGGATAAAAATGATGGCGGGGGGGCACTTACGTTATAAGTGGGTTTTGGAAGAAGATACCCTTGAATTCATGCCCAAAATTGAGCCTTGGGCTAATTATCGACGCCGGTTATGTACATACCAACGAGGTCAAATGTCTGAGAGAAAAGTACAAGATATCGATTCTAGACACGGATTAGCAGCCTGAACTGATCCATTAAAGCCAGGGCGCACCACGAAAAATAGAAACTTGATCCAGGACCATCGTGATTGCTGGAAGATTCGTTCAGCATATCGGAGCAAGCATTAAGAGGCAAATGGTTTCCTACCCATATGAGAGAAATCTAAAGGTATTGTCAAATCGATTCACGTACATGTCAATGAAGAATTTACCTCATCGTCAAGTGTGATCGCATACTCCCACCATGTCCAAGAGAATGAGAAGACTGTATGAAGGTTAAATGGGACATTTGGGGTCATACAAGAGACGAAAATTCTACCTGCTGTTGTGATAGTGATTTTGTGCCAGCGATAAGCAGTCAAAAGACGTTGTATAATAGCGCTCGCTGGGTTTTCGAGGGCGTCCATGGAAGTGTAGTTCTGGTGGGATTAGCTGCCAGATGAAGGGTTTATGCCTCGGCTCCGGTTATCAGCGCGAACCGAAACTCGTGGTGATCGGATACTACCAGGTGTTTCAGGGCATCCAAAGAGTACAGAAGTACCATCTGCCTGCGGTGCCTGGTTCATCATCAGACAGGGAAGTTCCCAAACACGAGAGAAAGAAAGTTCTCGAGCCAAGGTCATGGTTAAGCAATCTTTCCCTGACACCTCGGGGAAATCAAGAGGTGATTGATTGAAATCAACCCAGACCTGCATCCCAGCCCTGACAGAAAAGCCGGTCCGTCGCCGCGCTGAGTTTGAAACTCCCTTCTAACAGTAACAATGCGCCTCAAGAATGCCTGGTGGGAACATATTACTTCGTGACAATCACTGATGTCCGTAAAAGTTGATTATGGTGTCGTGTCGCGCCGCTTAAGAGGAAGCCTGGAAACCTGACGATGACCGCGTCCCCGCTACTGAGTTGCTACTCATTCGACAAGGCTCTCACCTTTCGACCATAATGATCCCACTTATTGCTTCTGTTGTTCTTGTCTACCTTGCTACAGTTCGCTACCTTAGGTACCGGCGTCTGCATGCTGTGCAAGCCAGGATCCGTGCCAGCGGTAAGGAACCTAGTCCTTCTGAAGCTCAGTCTGCTTTACAGGGAGCATTGTTGTATGACATGCCCTTCTTTACGCGCCTCGGGGCTCAAGTTGCACTCCTCAAGACATATGGGATCGTAAGCTGCTATGCGTCTCATTTTTTCAAGTTGTATTCATGTCGAAAGCCTTCCATCTCCGCTCTGCTATTGAAAACTGGGGAGTTTTCCACAGAACGAAAACTCACGAAGAGGGTTACTGATGTGAGTGTATTCCCCCCACCTCTGCAGAGTATTCACCATAGTTTGTTAAGACGGCTTTGCTCATCTCCACCTTCATCTCTTGTCCCTTGGAGTATTCGCCAACGACAACGAAATCAACACCATGTCTTGGGCCGAGAAGCAATATTGCGCTTGCCCGAGTGAATTGGCTGCATAGACGCTACAACATCGTGAGCTTCCAGTGTGATCAATTGCGCTTTTTTAATTAGAACTTTCGTAGTCAAATGATGATATGTTGCATACTCTGGCTCTCTTTATTTTGGAGCCCATGGTTCGCCCGGATCTGCTACCGCTACCCACGACTCATAATTTTCTCAGCGTCTAGTAGCACGCTTCGATTGGCGTCCGTACAGCCCGGAAGAAGCAAACGTAAGGCACCGGCACCACTCTACTGCCTCGTTGCGCTAATTTAAGCTGTGAAAGTGTAACTTCCTCATGTGGAAGGATATTGGTCAACGCATGGACATCAAAGGGATCCCTGAGAGTCTCGGTGAATTAGAAGAATGGAGCAGAGTAAGTCTATTCGGCCTTGGATGAATCCATCATCTTTGACTTCTACGACCAAGCAATATGAAAGTACCCATATGGTCCCGTCGGAGAGCAGTCATCAGCTGGCCAACATGGCACTGGACTATATGAGCACCCGAGTGCCAAATATACCTGGTGCACGATCGTTGGTCAAAGACGTGTTTCTGTGCCTGTTGGATGATGAACTTCGAAATGCCATGATGTGAGCACTTTGATACTCTCCACCTACCGATATCTGAGAGGCCGGGGCCTATCCAGGCTCCCTGCACCGTCGAAATATGCACAGACCTTCGTCAAGACAGCTCTGGCGGTTCGAGCCTTTATCGTCAGAAACTTCATGCTTCCTCGATTCAAACCTCAGGGATACATTGTCGTCGAGAACCCTCCATATAGCATAGACTCTGATGGTCTCATGCGTCTTCATACGATTGTGTGAGCTTGTTTTTTCCTTTTGCATCTTGCGGATGTAATCAAATTCTTTCACAGCCGAAGGCACTATCCATGGTATTATCCTGTCCCAACAGGCTGGCGGCATGCTTTTGATTGGTTATTTGGCCTCACGAAGGGGAATCTCTATCCCGGAGCGGTGTTTAAGTCGGAGGGATATCGCCTGGAGGAACTGGTTTGTTCTTCATCTTTGTAGAATTGAACCGGGACTAAGATGCTATTGATATCACAGGGACCAATTAGGTTTGAGCAACGTATGTCTCCTAAATTTAAGTCAGCTCCATTCCTTAACAGAGACGTTTCTAGATGGTCACGAAGAAGTGATGAAGGAAGCCCAAGAACTGTATGGAGCGCCAATCGAAAAGCCTTGGGCCCGTTGATTCTCGTAATTTTTTACTGCCTCCTAGAACGGTTAAGACTCTGTACGAAACGACTTTTATTCTTCACCATCTCTTCTCTCTTTTTACCCCAAATAATGTTCTTGACCGTATCTCTTTTCTGTGCTTTCGCGCTTCTTATTATCCTGTATCCCAACCGTTCAGTCGGGGTGTCAGCTCGAAATGATATCCCTGGCCCAGGCGGTCTTCCCTGTATTGGCAATCTACTACAAGTTTTTCCCTACAGGCGACAAATGATATCCTTCATGGAACTTTTGAACAAGGCCTACGGTCCATTGTCGACCTTAACCATTCCAGGATGGGGTCGTCTGATTGTGATAAACCGTCCTGAATGGCTTGCGCATGTCAAAAAGAGTTCCGTTCATTCATATGAATCAGCGTACCTTTTACTAACATTTGATTGCATCAGATGACATTTCAATGTACACCAGAGGACCGGTCGCTGTATCTATATTCGAGCAGTTTCCTGGCTTAGAAACACCTGTCGCTTCCGAGGGAGAAAAATGGAGGAGCTCGCGCAAGGCTATACAGTACGTCTTATGCGTCCTTCACTGGCGCCCACTCACCCAACCGACCGTTCAGACCCATTTTCGGAAGAAAATCCTTTCAAGACCACCTCGCTACTGCTATGAATGAAGTAAGCAAGGTTCCTTAAGCGCTTTATTTACTACTGATCTGAGCGACTATTCATAAGCTGATGCCAACGACAACGCGTTTACTGACGAATGCTGCCAAGGAGCAGCTTCCTTTTGACTGGAATGGTATGTGATTAAGTCGACGTTGTTTCCGTGCGCCATGACGTTCTGGATATAGACCTTGCGGGGCGCTTGGCGCTCTCAATCTTTGTCAAGAGCACCTTTAATCTCGATACAACAATGTTGCAAGAGGACACCAAAGTCTTGACTGAATCTCATGAGCTGATTTCATCTGTCTGTGAACTCAATGACATCTCCGCCGGGTAGATGTGTTTTCCTCTCTTATACTCAGTCCGTACTCAATTCACACTTGTCAGGCGTTTATTCAACCCATACTGGCACATCACTGAAAAGGTTTGTGCTTAGTGATATGATACCCCTGCGATACCGTTTTAACATGTGATGAACAGTTTGACGGAACTTGGTTCAGGTTCAGAAGGACTATATCTGTCCTGTGGAAAGCGATTGACGGCCTCATCGAAGAACGATCAAAGTCTCTCGCTCTAGTTGGAGATGTCGACAGCAGAGAGACCGATTTCTTTTCCGCCCTCCTGAAATCGTATTCGATGACTAATCCTCTCTTCACTCGGAACATTATGGTTACGCTTTTGTTTGGAGGGCGTGATAACACGCAGAGCAGCATTTCATGGGCACTGTATGAATTATCAAGGAAACCGGAGTGGCTGAACCGAATGCGGGAAGAGGCCATCGCATTGGGACAGTCGGGCCAACGTCCCACTTTTGCGACGGTATCGGTATGTACTCCCCTTGCTTCTCTAGGCGCAGGCGAACTGACGTCTTGTTATCTAACATAGTCGTATGTAGTCCATTTGGCAGTGTTCTACGAGACGGTTCGTCTGTGGCCTGGCCTACCTAAGAATGCGCGATATGCCACTGCCGATGATATACTCCCAGCGGTACCTGAGATTTCGATTCCCGAGACCAACATTGAAAAAGGAACGTATGTCCTATGGTCGGACAAAATCATCATGAGAGATCCTTTGGTGAGCCTTTGAAGCTCAATTTCACAGGGGAAGTAGTCAATGACAATCATAACCTCCAGGTCTGGGGACCAGATGCAGACGAATTCAATCCCGGGAGGCATATCTCGGACGATGGCAAATTCATTAAGCCCTCAGGTCCTGAGTTCGTAACTTTCGGTGCGGGCCTACGCTACTGGTAAGTCATCATACTTTTACCAGGGCTGCTGATGGTAATTCATCCCATCTTATCCAGTCCTGCTGCCAGCATCGTCCCGTATGAATGGGTATTTATTTGGTCCACATTGCTTCCTCTTTTCGAATTTGAGTTTCTGGATACCTCGAAGCGATTTACTGGCGACTTCTTGACGAACCAGATGGCGGAACCGTTTATGGTACGAGTCCACGAAAGGGAAGTTTAAAATTTGTCTAGGAAGGGTGTCTCTGCTGGTGAAGAGAAATGCAACTACGTAATGAATATGCAAGCTGTACCAATGCGGCTGCTCTGTAAAGTTAGTGTCTAAAAATATTCTTTCTGTGTGTCTCGTCTGAATCACATGGGTTATTGAGCGTTTCTTGATGGAACCTGTAAAAGTGAAATTGATATCGAAGTTATAGCTCTATATGAACAAAAAGTCGGTCAGTGGGTGGCGCTCACAGATTTTAGATATTTGCATACGCATTCGAGATGAACATGAAGATATCTCTTGGACATTCGCTTGTCTATATCATGGTCCTTCGCATATCGCTGGTAATGATGAGTTGACTATTCCGGAAGGATGGTGATAAATCTAGGCCATACGCTGTGGGTCGTATCAGCATCGGAGGGACATTTCTCTATGACAGTGAGAACCACGGCCGTGGCTAGCGTGATTTTAATTCACTGAAAGACAAGAAAAATATGTTGGGCGGACGTTCGCGAGCTTCCTCAATTTCTTATAGCTGTTTCCATAGAGGTACCAGGCCAAGACTTACGCGGAACATAGCAGAATTATTGGCGGATGAATGTGCCAAATAAGAGTCCAAAAGCCATGTAGACCTGATAAAGCGGCTTGGAGTGAGCGGATAGAAACGTAGGTGGATAAACTCACAAAGGTGACCGAGAAAAGCGGTCCCATGGCTGCCACATTTTGCTTGTCAAAGGCAGGAATGGTATCAAGCACAGCAGCACAGCAGCCCAGGTAGCGCAACAATCATTGTTACCTGTTCTCGCAATTGAAAAGAAATTAACAGGGGAACAGGTATCTGGGGCGTTCCCCTATACGCTGCAGCCGTGAAAAAACCTACCTTTTTCGTCAGCCAGAACCCGAAGAAGATGGTGAGGACCTGTAATTGACTCTTAAGCTGCAAGCGTGCGCAATAATACGACATCTTACATTTTCAGCAAGGGCATCACGCCCGAATAGATGAGAAACCCCACAGAATAACCCATTTCTGCACGGTAGCAAAAGGTGGTCGTCCATTATCGAGTTCCATTCAGATATACCCTGTTCTGTTGCGATTTCCGAGTGCCTTCCGAGTCGGCGTGAGTGTCTTAAAGCAAAGTTGGCCTCCCCCCCGGTTTTTCGACGCGTAGGCTCGAGACAAATCGGCGGTTAAAGGGTCAGGAGAGTAACTAGATGATGAATTACGTGGAAGGAGTAGACAAACGCTGTATTGCAGGCACGAGCTCGAACATGAGATCTTTGAATAAAAACATTTGAAATCGAAAACGAGTCGGACTGGTTCCGCCACAATAGTTTCGGATGATTTCGAGTCCTCGCGTCAGTGGACGGGTGATGTATAGATAGATTCTCTTCCGTGTCCTCGCCACACCTTCTGTACACGCAAGGTTCTTTACCTTTTACCTGTACCCGACATTGATATTGAAAAAAAAAGAAAAAAGCTCATTAAAGGGTGCGCACGTTGCGCCACATTAAAGTAGAAGTCTTATTAGGTCCGTATGCTGGTAGAGGTGACTAGCGCCTAGTGACGAGCAAAAATGACAAAATTTATATTACAATCGCAGGTCTATGAAATCGATACGTATCATGGTGCCCTTGTCGAGCTCCATTTCGAAGCAACAAATTTCCGGGGGTCGCAATGTGTTCTTCATATTACAAGGAGGTTAACCATGCAGGCCTTTCATCTTGAAAGTTGAAGCTCATCGCTCTAGCAGGTACTTGCGAAGAAAAGCGAACTGTGAGTCCAGGCAACGAGTCTGATGCTGTGTTCCACGGAGATGAGGACATGCGATCTCTACGTGGTCAAAGGACTCGCCTTTGCCGTTGTGAGGTACTCGTTTCGTTGGCCTCCGCATATCACCACGTTCTCTTCAAAATAACATTCCGATGCATGGTCATTGGTCACCTTTCGGCCTAGCATCATAGTCGATCCGATTTGGAGATATCGATAGTTTTGACTCGGTGTAAGTTCGAAGCTGTTACTGGAGGAAGAGGTTCTGATTGAGAAGAGTTATTCGAAGATGCCAGACAGAACATTCAAAGTTCAACGTCTTGAAAGCAGAGGATAGCAGAGGATACAAGGCAATTATAATTCAGGGCCATCTGCAACGAAACCGTGGGTGCGACAGCCGGCGCTTCAATTCAAGGTAAACAGACTAGAAATATATTAGAAACTGACCGAGATTAGATATCTCTCTGGTAGTCAGTCGGTCAGTACGCCTAAATTTGTCGTGCGAAAGCTGGGTTCGATTCCCAGCGAGAGAGTCAAGTTGAAGAATGACTTTTTTTCGATATGAATCTCACAGAATTATTACTGCAAGCATTAGAGATCCGAAATCCATGCTCAAACTTCGTTGCTTCATCAGGTACTCAACACAAGATTCATTCATTTTTGCTTCGGTCGCTTATGTGTCGATGTTTAAACAGATGTTGCTCTCGAATCATTACAGAGGATTCCATATGTATGTCCTCACCCTTCTGCCGCCGCATGAGTACAGGGATATGACGCGCTGTCTACGGCGATATCTTCGCTGTGGTGGATGAGATTTCTTTAGTAAATAACCAAGTAATCCCCCAGTTACCGGCCATTAATCAATTGCCCCGACTTGTAGTCAACACAGCGTCTCCGGTATCTATGGTAGTTCCAGGTGTACTACCTTCCTGGAAGTGCAAGCCAGACAACTGCAGAGATGGGGGAGGATTTTCTTCCCGCCCCGTTTTGCGTAGATTTAAGATCATACGAGACATAGAAATCGATAAAGCAGCTGAGGTGGCACCATGGAGAACATTGTATTTCTCCAGCTGAGATATCGAGTTGTCAGTGCAAGCACAAGTTTGACAAAAAATACATACGGCAGCAAAACGGTATATCAGTGCATTGGCGAGGGCAGCTGCAAGGACACTTGTAATGGTTAGCCTATCAAACGATACAAAGAAAGAGCAGTACGTACACTACAAAGTACAGCAACGAATCACGGACGATGATGGCAAGTAAAGACCGAGGGCCATATGTGCCCTCCATCTTAGGCACATTGAAATCATCTATGACTCTGAATGCAGCAAGGAGGAACATCACTGATTCGAAAACGGCTATGGGTATCCTTCAAGCAGAAATATTAATTCGCATAAGCCAAGCCATCCAAAAGAGGGTACTTGCCAATAGGCATATAGGATATTCAATTTACTGGTCAACCAGCAGAGATAGATGCCAGGGAGCGGTTCGTTAGAACCTACGGAGAGCCGTTATCAGCAGTCGTTACAGAACAAATTCAGCGAGAAAAACACCTGTCGAATGCTTTGCCTGAATTGCCAACACTGTCGAGCTAGCGGCCACGTTGAGAATATACAAGGCTACCATGGGCACTACAATGCTCTTCTTTCGACCGTATATTGCCCCAAGTCGAATTATAAGAATGATATCAGCAACAAAGATTTGTAGACTTCCTGAATTGAATGAGTTAGATGGAGAGGATTGACAGGCAATGATGTGTTTGGCATACCGTTGATGACGATGATGTACCCGACCCATGCGTGGCCTACGATTCCCGTTCGAATAATGGGTCAATGAGAATGAAATCATATAGTAATACGCACAACTATCAAGGGGTAGGAAATTTCATGTGTGAACAGATACAGGATGCACGTACAACTGCGATAAGTCCTTTAGTCACCGTCGGGGATAAAAAAGATGAACGGGCACCTACATTATAACTCGGTTTTGGAAGAAAGTAACCTGGAGTCCATTCCCGAAAATGAGCTAGGGCCAACTCTCGACGCCAGGTTATGGACATACCGGCAAAGTCGAACGTCTGAGAGAAAAGTAAAAGATATCGATTCTAGACACGGATTAGCCACCAGAACTGATCCAGTAAAAAGTCAGGGTGCACCATGAAAAATAGAAACTTGATCCAGGACCAGCGAGATTGCTGGGAGATCACTTCAGCTTCAGCAAGTTGGAGCAAGCACTGCGAGGCGGAGGGTTCCCTACCCATATGAGAGAAATCTAAGGGTAATATTAAATCGACTCCCGGTACAAGTCGATGAAGAATTTCTTACCTCATCGTCAAGTGTGATCATATATTCCCACCATGTCCAAGAGAATGAGGAGACTGTATGGGGGTAGTAGGACATTTGGGAAGACAGGAGACGGAAATCCTACCTGCTGTTGTGATAGTGATTTTGTCCCAGTGATACGTTTTCAAAAGGCTTTCTATAATAGCGCTCGCCGGGATGTCGAGGGGGGCCATAAAAGGTCGATGCAGGGTTTACAGGTCCGCTCTTATTTATCAGCGCGATCCAAAACTCATGTGTGCGCAATCAGACACCATCAACAAAGCGACGAACGAGATCTCCCCCTCCGTTCATCATCACGTCAACATGAGGCACCAATGTTGCTAAGCCATTCCTGGAGGCAAGGCCACATTCCTAGGCATCAATCTTTCCATGAAACCTGCAGGAGAAGCGATACGTGATTGATTGAGATCAAGCCACTCGCCCTGATGGAAGTGCCGGTCCGGACTCCCACCATAGCTGTGAAGAGTTGGAAAAACTCCGAGTAGTGCTGTGCCTCGATAACATCTCCCCACAGGATGAATTATTATGACATGGCTTACTTTACTCGCCTTGGAGGTGTATTCCCTCAATGTTCTGATGACCAACAACTCATAGCTTTCTTAGCACCTAATAGCAGGCTTCGGTTCGTGTCTGTGCAGCCCAGAGGAAGAAATGTTAATGCGCCGGTATCACTCTACTGCCTCATTGTGCTGATTTAATCCATAGGAGTGTAAGTTTTTCATGGAAGGATATTTTCAGCACACGGACATCAAAGGGATCCCTGAGACTCGAAGAATTCGAGGAATGGAGCAGAGTAAGTGTATTGTGTGTTAGATTAACCCATCATCTCTATATGGACCCATCAGCAACAGGATGGCGCCATGATTTTGATCGGCTGCATAGCCTTGTCAAGGTACATTTCTATCACGGTGCGGCATCAAAGTGGGAGAGATGTCTCTTGGGGGAACTGGTTTGTTCTTTTTCACCTTCACAGAACTGATGATGGTGAATGTGTTCATCACCTCCCAGCGAGCAGCTGAGAACATGAACATCAGAGTTGGGGAGGGGAAGATGTTGGAGTTTTGAGTGATGCATGGTCAAGCACATCACCATGAAATTTGTGACATTCACATATGGTATTTTCATTCTATGATTTTCTTTGTATTTGTACTGGTATTTCATGTCTCAGTCACCATTTATATACCAATAGCCATCAGTTGTTCTCCTCATCTGTTGATTGTAACAGCTGAGGTGAGCATTGTACAGAATTACATTGTACTTATACTTACTATGTCTCATAGCTTACTTTCATTGTACCTAGTCTTCCTTGTACTGAAATTTTATCAGGAGGTTGTCCATGGCCTATTAAATCACACTGTGAACATCTTGAGCTATGCTAGGGAACTTCATGATGAGGTAGTCATTGAGGATGACAGGGATGAACCTTCAAGTAGTGTGTTCTGCATTTTGTCTGATGTTAATGAAATGCTGTGAAGTGGCAATGAATGAATCAACAATGTGCAGGATGCACACTACTAAAACACCAACACCAAATCACAATATGGTTCAAGTGAGGAATGGTAATGTCTGGACTCTAAGTATATAGAGAAGATAATGTATATAGGATGTGATAAGATGTAATTCAAAGATATATATTGTATTTTGCTTGAACAAAGCTGTCTGTGTCATTGAACACAACAAAACTTATCTCAAATGGTCTGCCTGATGCAGTTTCTGGACTGATACAATGCACCTGATTGTGACTTATACACAATATTGGCTGTTCTGAACTATCTCAGGTCTGTTCTGACTGTCTGATATAAACTTTCAGTTGCTTTCTGGGGGTTCTTGCACAAAACAAAGTGACCTGGTCACCACAATACTATTCAGGTTGAGTCTATGACTTGAAGCTCTTAACCAAACACAACTTGTACTATTCACTTAGTAGCATTTCAGGGAGAGGCTAGAAAACCTCCCCTCTCTCTATACATGACCTGGTATTTATACTTTCTGGCTGCCCATGTCTGACTAACATAATGAACTACTGACTAATAGACTTGCTGATCCAATCAGGTAGGCTAAACTCATTTTCTGGCAGATATGAGCTCATGCAGAACTACCTGATTGATCAATTGGATTAGGCCCCAGTCCTTACCAACATGCTAATCATTCAGGTCTCTGTTACTAGACCTGGGAACCTCACATACTGAACAGAGAGGTCTACTAGTGCTCCAGTCTCTGCTAGACACTGAGATATCACACTCAAGGGAATTATGCTCTCACCAGATAATTACATGCTTATTATATCTTACTATGGTGGTTACAAGATAGCTAACTTGATAAAAAAAAATGATAAATATATTTATTTCTCTATCTGGTATAGCTGTCTGGCATATCGGCATACTAAACAGAGAGGTCCACTAGCACTTCAATCTCTGCTAGATACTGAGATGTTATACTTAATGAGATTGTGCCATCATCAGATAATTTCTTACTTATTATACCTTACTGTGGTAGGTACAATAAGGCTAACTTGGTAGAAAAGTGATAAATATATCTGCTTTTCTATCTGGTACAGCTGCCTGATATATCATCAACCATGTTTACTATATCTTTAATATATGAGTTATCTCAAACAATGCTGTTATGCTATTAGTGAGTTGTTGGGGTGAAGAGGCATTGTACTAGTTGCTGGACAACACCAAGTGGATAGTTGGTGCATAAAAAAGACATATCTGGATCAGGAGAGATTGACTCAGCTTGATGTGAAGCTGGTGTCCATTTGAGACAAGCATGAATTCAAGAGAAATAGAATGATGAGTTCAAAGGGAGACTACAAATTCAAATTGAAATAATCTGCCCTGGGCCAGTCTTTGACAACTTCCATTGATCTGGTTGAGTCTTTTAGTCTTTTAAGATCCTTCCCTCCTGGAAGTGCATCACAGTGGGCATCTGAAGGCTCACAAGAAGAATCTAGCCTTATCTATGCTTACCTCTGTACTGGGAAGAGTGCCTCTGGCATGCTAGATACCCTGGTGCATATTCCAATGAATTAATAACATACAGACCTCAGGCTATGAAATGTTCTCAGATGCTGGAGATTCTCCAGTCTGAGATCTAGCCAGATTATGCCTAGAGAGCATTCATGACTCACCAGATGATAACACTCTTCTGTCAACAGTGCTATGATATTTGCTGGAGAGAAAATAGTTATCATATCTTAGGATAGCAATGACAATCCCAAAAATCCTAAAAAGTGAGCTTTATTTGCCATTTTAATATTCCTTTCATTATGTGCAGTTCAAGTGATATTCAGAAATAGATTGTGGCAGACCTTGTATTGACACACTTGATATTGATGCATATCATGTTGTCCATAATAGCTCCAGCTGCTGAAGATATGACAAGAGATTTTGGATCCACTGACCACAGCTTTGAACCTCTGCTAACTTTAATATTTATCTGTACATACAGTAGGATTGGATCATATGAATCTCCTCATTGAATCTCATTGATAATACCTTCTAGCTTTCAGTGCTCTATTTTCATTCCAACCTCTCAGATCCTTGGCTATTTCAGAGTGGTGCATCTAAGCAATGTGTTTTATATCAGTATGAGTCTTCACTTCATGAGTGCTTTAAGCAAGCATTAATAAGACTTTAGTCTTTAATCTTGTCTGTGCTTCTGTGAAAACTCCTAATTAGATGATTGTGTTCTATTTCCTGACTGATATTAGTGAAGGTACATCACCAATGGTATGCAGTACAAACCATAATAAGTAAGCTGTATCTGATCAAGTCAACCAACAGCTTAGTAGAAGTATTTTTTACCATTACTGAAGTGTCAAGAAACCTGGTCACATAGAGATTGACAAGTAAATGTTATAGCACCTCTTTTGAGTCTAATCTTTGGGTCTATTATTGGTGCATAGATCACCATGCAATATGAAAATGGGTTGTGAGTGTCACACTTATCTCTGAGATTTTTTCTAGTTTTAACTTTGCTCCAGTTCTGGTTGACATCTATTGCTGCAGTCTTGGTTCAAGCTGGCACCTTCTTTTAGCTTAAAAGAAGTAAGTGTGATACATAAGTAATCTTTGTCACTCAAGTTTTGTCTGCTGGCTTTCAGACTCTTTTTATTGGCCAAAATGGCAAGGAGGCTGCAAAATATCAGCAGTGAGAAAAACAATACTTGATATACTATAAGCTATCAGCAGAATACACTCAAGTATATGATGACTGACACCTGAGAACCATTTCTGACCTCTACTTTAGCTATTCTATTTATCCAGTTTTACTACTCTAATCTGTATTTTTACTTATAATTAAACCTGTAGCTCAGGCTATCATGTTCTAAATTATATTCACTGATTATTTTTCAGATATGTGTTAGACTCAGTCAACACATGACTCTGAACACATGATAAACTAATGCTGTGTTGAATTCACACAATCATATCAGAGTCCACTTATGTGTATATTGAGTAGTGTTAGATTAAGGCTATGCAAGTTAGGCTTGAGAAAAGAAGAGTGGTATGAATAAACTTTAGCTCAAAGCTGGTATACTACAGCAAGAGCTATGCTACTTATATATGTTTTCATGTTCAATAAATATAACTCCTACTTATTATATGTTCCTATGCTATAGTGCCATTGTGTCTGGTCATTGAGAGTGGGACAATAGAATATTGTTTGTTAATGAGGCATCTGTTGAACATTGAAAGATAATAACACAAACTGCCTATTGTGATTGAATGGTCATCTCATGCTCATCAATAAGCATTTGTGATAAGATAGATGCCCTGATAAGATAAGATCAAAAATGAGATAATAAGATAAAAGATAAGATAATAGAAAAAATCATAACAATATGATAGGATTGCTTAATGATGTTTTGTTTAATTGTTTCACTAACTCATCTTTTAAAGCTGATATTTTATACATTTTAATATGGTCTCACTTTCTGAGACTTTTCTCTCACTCTTCCTACAGTAATACTGATTGTTAGATATAAAAATAGTACAATATAAACATGTTTACTTATCTATTTGATATTCTTTCTTTTTTTGGTATGATGCATTATT